GTCCTTTCACTATACTTTAGTTATTTTTTATTAAAAATGCTATTTATATTAGCATATAATTTTTATTTTTAGATGAATGTTAAAAAATGTTGCCAGTGTTATTTTCTAATAAGAGTGTGTATTGGTAGATGCAACACATAAGTGAAACTCTTTAAGATATTCGGTGATTTTTAAGGGTGAGAATATTTGAGAATAGCTGTTGTAGTTCATTCACTCTTTTGTGTCATCTTATTATGCTATTTCTTGAAAACGCTTCAGAATTTTAGATACTGAAACACATTTTTCAAGATTAACAGGAAAGTGTTAACAAATTGTCATAGCACGCCCCTTTGGGGCAGCTTGACTAAGGAGTCAGGCTCTGAAATTAATTCCACAAATTTTTTAGAGGAATCACTTAACTTTGTTTCCCAAGTAAAGTAGAAAAATGGTCTGAGTAAAGTAGAAGTTAAATTCTGACCTATCTCAGAATTGACATAGGCTAGCATATTTTACAAAGCTTTGAAATACTGTTAGAACAAAAAGTCTAATGGAATCTGATAGCTAGTTGAAAACTTCATATATTACTTATTTGTAGGTGTTATTGGTAAAAAGTAGAAGGAAAGAAACTGTTACTTCCAGATGGTACCTCCAAGAAGGATCTCTCTCTCTCTCTATTTATTTTCTGTTAAAAATTTTTAAATTCTTATGGATTCATAATAGTTATCTATCTTTATAGGATATATTTGATCTTTTGATATAGGCATACAATGTGAATTAGTCAAATCAGGGTAATTGAGATAGCCATCACCTCAGATATTTAATATTTCTTTGTGTCAGGAGCATTCTAGTTCTACCATATTAAAGTCTATCGTAATTATTGTTTATTATAGTCTCTATTGTGCTTTCAAATATCATTCATTCTATCTAACTCTTTATTTTTATACTACTAACCGTGCCTTCTTCATCCTCTCCTCCCTGCTGCCCTTCCCAGCCTCTGGCAGCCATCATTTTACTTGCTGTTTCCATGGGATCAGTTGTTTTTAACATTTTACATCCCCATATGAGTGAGAGCATGTGAGATTTGTCTCTCTGTGCCTGTTTTATTTTACTTAACATCACGTTCTCCAGTTCCTTCCATGTTGTTGCAAATGGGAGGATTTTATTCTTTTTTGTGGCTATGTAATTCCATGTGTATAGATGACACAATTTCTTTATTCATCCATTGATGGGCCTTAGGTCGATTCCATATCTTGTCTTTGTGAATAGTGTTGCAACAAACATGGAAGTGTAGATATCTTTTCAGTATATTGATTTCCCCTCCTTTGGATATATACCCCGCAATGGGATTGCCAGGTCATATGGTAGTTCTATTTTTGGTTTTTCCAGGAACCTCAACTGTTCGCCATAGTGGTTGCACTAATTTACATTCCTATCAACAGTGTGTGGGTTCCCCTTTCTGTGCATCATTGTCAGCATTCATTACTGCTTGTCTTATTTATAAAAGCCATTTTAACCAGGGCGAGATGACAGCTCACTGCAGTTTTCATTTGCACTCTCTAATGACTAATGATGTTGAACGTTTTTTCTTATACCCACTGGCCATTTTGTGTGTCTTCTAAGAAGTGTCTATTCAGATCTCAGTAAGGATCAATTTAGATTTCAGAGTCATCTTAGATTGCTCATCGATACATAATCACCAATTAGGTGATACTGAATAAACAGCTGTGCTTTGGAGAATGCACAAGAGATAAATATTGTAGTTGACTTTGATTATTTTTATGGCACAATTTTGAACACATGCATAGACTATGCACTGAACAAAAGAATGTTTATCTACATGAAATCAAAGTGAAGCAGTGAATATTTCTGGAAATAAGACTTTTGAAAATATAAAGTGAGCAATTTAATAGAACTGTATTGAGAATTTTAATTTTATTATTAATTGGCTAATAACGTAAATTTGTTATGTCATTTATTTTTATAGGTTAAGAAAAACCCAGTCCAGGATAAAAGTTTGATGCCAGGAGATGATTTTATTCCTGAGCCACAAATGGCAATTCATGTTTCTTCAGGGGATACAATGAATATGACAATATCCAAAAGTTGTCTTAATGTTTTCAACAATTTAGCAAAAGTATGTTTGATTCTTGCTTGGAATATCAAATAGAATTAAAAATGAAACTTTTATGGATTTTTTTTTTTGTCATCAGAATTACTTTTTGAAAAATGTAGTCACAGTATGTTTTTGGAAAGAATATACATTTTGCAGAAATATAATGTGACATTATGTTCTTTTTCAGGGTTTTTCAGAGGGTACTGCTTCTACTTTTGACTATTGTTTAAAAGATAGGGCTCCTTTCACGATAAAAAATGCTGTGGGAATTCCCATTAAGGTTCGACCCACTTGTAATCTCAGAGTAATGGGCTGTCCAGAAAAAACTGAAATTTTTGATATTGATACTGGCCAGAATTTGGAATTGGAATATGCTACCATCGAACCTTCACGTCAAGGGAAACTATCCATATTGAGCCGTCAAGAAAGCTCCCTCTTCAGTCTGACCTTTGGTAAGCTACATTTATTTTATTTGAAGGGCATCTTGGAGATTGTTGTTAGGGGCTTATTTTTTATAAAATATGAAGAGACTATTTTCCTGCAAATGTCTTAGGATACAATATTTCTAAAGGTCTTAAATATATAGTTGAAACTTGTCTCATTTTCTTCTAAACTTGAGAAAATTAAACTTTACTGATTTAATTTAAGTACCTTACAAAACTAGATTATTTATATGGCTTTAATATAGTAGAACCTGAGTATGGACTTAAGTCAACCTAATTTTCATAGACTGGACATGTACCACATGCAGGTATTAGTACAGTAGGCCTAGTTCCTTATGTTGACAAGTTTGTTGCAGTCCCTTGGGTGGTCAACTTATAGAGGTTCTACTACAATACAATGTTATTATATTATATAGCATAACATGCCTTTAAAAGGATCAGTTCAATGAGGAGAGAAAATAACTATATTCAGAAGTCCTGAAATAGTGACAGTAATTATTATAAGAAAAAGGACATCATTGGTGTATAGTTAAGAGAATAAGAAATAAATTGAATTTTGTGTTTATTTATTTTGAGACAGAGTTTCAGTCTGTGCCCTGGGTAGTGTATCATATACCTCATAGCAACCTCGAATTCCTGGGTTTAAGCAATTCCCTTGCCTCAGCCTCTTGAGTAGCTGGGACTACAGGTGCCTGCCACAATACCCAGCTAGTTTTTCTATTTTTAGTAGAGACAGGGTCTGGATCTTGGTCGGGTTGGTCTTGAATGTTGCAACCCCTAGACTCTGGTCTCGGTCACTGTAGGGAGGAACCAGGCGTGATATGGATTAGAAGTACAAGCTTGCGAGAGGTGGGCTAACCTTAAGTGCAGGGTAGCCCAGAGGCCCCTCCGCAATGGCTGTTTATTAAGGTTATGCACAACAGGTGTGGAGAGTTAAGGTAATTACATAGGAGGGCTGCATGTGTAAGGATTGCCATGTGCTCTTTCCTCAAGTGTTCTTTCCCCACAGTCCCCATGAAGAACCACTAAGCATCAATGTTTAACACATGCTTACTAGTGAGTGACCAATCTTATCTCATTCTGGAACACGGAGTTACTTGGAGGATTGCCCCCAAGTCACAGAACATCTCTAGGCTTGCCAGGAGTCTGTCCTGTTCTCAGTGTTTCCTTTTAATGTGATAAGAATCAGTAACTGTCCTTTGCAAGCATGGTGTCCATTCCTCTACACTTGAACTCCTGAGCTCAGGCTATCTACTTGTTTTGGCCTCCCAGAGAGTTAAGATTACAGGTATGAGCTAGAGTGCCTGGCCTGAATTTTGTTTTAATATTTTCAAAACCCTAAGAAAAATCATTTGGGTCAGCAGTTTTATATCAGCTGCTTTCCTTTCTTTGTTAGTTTTTGTCTTAGAACAGCATTTTATAGTGATCATTTCTAGTCTTGAGGAAAAATTCTCTTATCGTTATATTGAGGGGATGATGATTTTCTGTTATATAGAAATATTGGCAAGTTAATATTTGGAATTCTTTTCACTTACGCTCTGCCTTAGTACCTCATGGATATACAGAAGTTGCAAATATCCCTGTTGCCAGACCCGGACGGCGATTGTATAATGTCCGGAATCCCAATGCCAGTCATTCTGACTCGGTCTTGGTACAGATTGATGCAACTGAAGGGAATAAAGTAATTACCCTTCGCTCTCCTCTGCAGGTAACACTTTATAGTGGATTCTGTCCCTTTGAGTGCATTAAGAAATAGTAAATAATTTAGCTATGTGTAGGAGCAGAGTAAAACTTCCTTAAGTCGATATGGATTATTCAGAAATAAATATGTTACTATTTTTTAACTTCTACTTAAACATCGAATTTAATATATATGATGCTTACCTACCCTAAAATTTTTCAATTGCCTATAAAAGTATCTTCCAATACTGAGTTTGAAATTTTTTAAGTACTTTAGAAGTAATTTAAATCACATTTTTCTTTTGCACTTGTAAATTTTTTAACAACTTGTCATTCATTCTTCCAACAGATTAAAAACCATTTCTCCATTGAATTTATCATCTATAAATTTGTTAAGAATGTTAAGCTCTTGGAGCGCATTGGAGTAGCCAGACCTGAAGAGGAGTTCCATGTTCCTTTAGATTCATATAGGTAGATACTTCTCTGAATATACTAAGCTTTAAAAAACTTACAATACGTATTTTTAATTTTACGAATTTAGGATATATATTCTGGATAAAAACCTCTTACGTTGCAAAAGTCAGATTTAAGGCATGTGTCATTTATTCTTCTATAGCAATGGTTCTCAACCAGTGGGTCATGACTCCTTTGGGGGTTGAACGACCCTTTCACAAGGGTCGCCTAAATACATCCTGCATATCAGGATGAATCATTATGATTCATAACAATAGCAAAATTACAGTATGAAGTAGCAACAAAAATAATTTTATGGTTGGGGATTGCCACAACATGAGGAACTGTATTAAAGGGTCACGGCATTAGGAAGGTTGAGAACCCCTGTTCTATAGGGAAATACATTTATATTATCATTGAATTTACCAGGCAAAAATTGTGTATTTGATGTTTTAGAATTCTCTGAGATGTGTTTCTCTTAGATTGCCTTTGTATTTTAAATGGAAAAAAAATGTTTCTGAGGAAAAAGTTGTCACAATCTGTCTGTCTGGCTAGAGTGCAGTGGTGTCATCATACTCACTGCAACCTCAAACTCCTGGCTCAAATGATCCTCCTGCCTCAGCCTCTCATATAGCTAGAATTATAGACATGTGCCACCATGCCCCGCTAATTTTTTCTAATTTTAAGTAGTCTCGAACGCCTGAGCTCAAACTATCCTCCTGCTTTGGCCTCCCAGAGTTCCTGGTACTAACAGGCATAAGTCACCATGCCTATTCTGAAATGTGAAAAAAAAAAATTTAAGTTGGCTTTGGTTATAGACTGTTTTTTTCCAGAAAGTTCCTTTATGTGTTAGCTATGTGACTTTTTGGGGCTATGTCTTCTTTATCTGTCAAAATAGGAATAATAGCACCTACTTTGTAGAATTAGCATGAAAATTTAATGAGATTCTTTAAGTTGTTGATTAAAGCTTTTTTCTCACTGTTTTCTTTTTTGTAGATGCCAATTGTTTATTCAGCCAGCCGGAATCTTAGAGCATCAGTACAAAGAATCCACCACTTACATTTCCTGGAAGGAAGAACTTCACAGAAGCAAGGAAGTCAGATGCGTGTTGCAGTGTCCATCAGCCGAAGTCAGCTTCCTGCCTCTCATAGTGAATACAGTTGCTCTGCCTGATGAACTGAGCTACATAGGTGCACATGGGGAAGACTGGGATCCAGCTTACATCATTCACCTTTATCCTCCTCTCACTTTGCGGAATCTTCTCCCATATTCTCTAAGATATTTACTTGAGGTATATCTCTTTGTTTGATTTTTGTTCGTGGACAGTCAATTCTGATTTTGCTTTTTGGTGTTTTTAGTTGAGGTCAGTGTCATATAGAGCATATGTGTAATTCTTTAATAATGATAGCAAAAACTGGCATATAATCTATTATGTGCTTGGAACTATACTGTGTCCTTTACATGGATTAACATATTCCTTACATTAACTTCCTGAAATAGATACTATCATTAGACACATTTTTCCTATGAGGAAACTGAGTCACAGGCTCTCGGTCCCATGGCTAGTGACTAGTGCAGCTGGGATTTGGACCTGGATGGTTTGGCTCCTTGATCACTACCACTTTTCTCTGCTGTGTCTGCCATAAATTAAGAACTATAACCATCTCTTTATTAAGTAAAATTTCATTAACTAAATGATAGAAAAAAGCTAATGAAAAAAAATACTTCATCTTGAAATTTTTATGTTATGTTAACATTATGATTATTTGGCCCAAGGTTCTATTGAAAATAAAAACAATTATTGTCTTTTTTAAGAAATAATAGGGAGTATTTTCTAGTAATGGGGTATGAAATATTTTTAATGTTCTGCATACCATACTATTTTAAAACACAGTAATAATAGTCGACCTATCAGTACGTGTCATGCCTAATTATAAAACACAAAAATCTGGGAAGTGTTTGAAACCTAAATTATTCGTTTTCATTATCTAGCAATGAGCCTGAGTTGTGGAGACAAAAGTTAATTAAATGAACTAAATAGTATTTTGTTGGTGTGACTTGATGCAAAACAGGTAACACCTACTCAGTCCATTTGCATTGAACTGAGGGACCCGGGGAGGTCAACACCCACAAGCCCTCCACAAGGAGAGACAGGGGTGTGGCCTTCTGCAGTGTTCCTCACTGGCTTTTATTAAAATCTCAGACATGAGAAAATACAGTATAGCAGAAAGCTTCAAAGAGAGAGTTAAGGTTAAAAACAAGTAGTTTATCTTTTACTGCATGATAGAACTCCTAACATATCCTGTTGACTGCACTCCTGCCTTGCCTTCATCTTACCACTGCTAATGTACGACTTAGGGCTGAGACAGCATGCCGTGTCTGGGGGGTATTGGTTTAGTATGCTGTGTTTAGTGAGTACTCATGGCCAGCAGTGATTCTTGGCTTTTTCCCAGATTACCCTGTCCCTAGGGCCTAGGACTTTTAACCCTATACTTTATCTTATAGTATTTATACAAGAGAAGTTTTTTAATAAAGAAGCCAGATTTGTATGTTGCTGTTACTTATTTTTAAAACAATTCCATTTTACTTTGCCTGTCAGAGTTATTTAACATCACTTTCCTTATTCCATTCATTTGGGAACCATTAAGCGTGGTATGTGAATTGAGATTAAAGCTGAAGCCCAGATAAATGGTTCATTTAATGACATAGCTTGATGGGTGAAGAGAATGATATTGTAGGGACCACGCCTATAATTTATCCTAGTAGGGTACATGTGTGTATTTGTCTAAAGGTTGAATATAAATGTCTTAACACAACAATTATGAGAAAGACATGATGGCTATGTTAGCCAGTTGAATGAGAGTTTTCCAAACTGCATATGGAAGCAACATACTGTATCCTAAGATAGAATTAATGTACACAATTATGATCTAATAAAAAATAAATTTAAAAAAATGACATAGCTTGAATGGATAACGGTGAGGGTTCATACAAATCTCATTTTTTTCTCCTTAAAATTTTTGGTTACTGGCCAACTAATGGCCCAAAGTCGATTTCTACCTTTGACTGTGACATAGTTTTTTCTTTTTAGTTTTTAGTTATTATTGGACATTCATAGTATATAAACAAGGTACTTCAGGGAAGACTTGGCAGTTAACATGCATTTGGTTAATTATTTAGCATTTGTGTAAAATACGGATTGTGTTATTTCAGAGGTTTTCAGAAATACTAAACAAACTTAGTTTTTGTTTTGTTTGTTTTTAGGGAACAGCAGAAACGCATGAGCTAGCAGAAGGCAGTACTGCCGATGTGCTACACTCGAGAATCAGCGGAGAAATAATGGAATTAGTTCTGGTGAAATACCAGGGCAAAAATTGGAATGGACATTTCCGCATAAGTGATACACTTCCTGAATTCTTTCTTGTGTGTTTTTCCTCTGACTCCAGAGAAGTAATGACAGTCGACCTGTCAGTACATGTCAGGCGAATTGGCAGCCGGATGGTGCTGTCTGTCTTTAGTCCCTACTGGCTAATCAATAAGACTTCTCGGGTTCTCCAGTATCGTTCAGAAGATATTCATGTGAAACATCCAGCTGACTTCAGGGATATTATTTTATTCTCTTTCAAGAAGAAGAACATTTTTAGTAAAAATAAGGTGTGTTTTTGTTTCTATACCAGTTAAAATAGATAAATTTCTAATCTAGAAATTTGGGCATTATTTGCCCTGCCATCCTGTTTGCTAAATGCCATTGGTATGAATTAGGTCCGATTCTTCTTGAGGACTGTGTAATAAAGTGGGTTGTTAGGAACTAACAACAACAGTTTCTTGAGGCTATGTCATACCCTTTTCTCCAATGCCTATACAATTACTTCTGTTCTTGAATTAGTATTAGTATCAGAATAGCTTGATTTTATGTACTTTACCAGTGATTAAATGGCATTTCTAAAGATGCAACTGTTGAATTTAGCTTACATTAACTGAGCCTTCTTATGTATGAAACACTAAGCCAGGCCTTTGGGAGCAAAACCTACTGCCTGAGCCTGGTCCTTTGTGCTCTGGTTCTTCTCTGCTCCTCAGACCCATGTCTTGTTATTCCTCACCACAAGCTTTCCCAAGTGCTCACCTCTAGACTTTGGCATATGCTGCACCCACTGCCTAGACTGCCTCTTCTTGGTTGTCTGCAATCCATCCTTTGGCATTTTGCTCAAACTTGGTATGTGTATAGATTTTCTCACTATTTACAATGGGTAGGGATATCCTATCAATGAGTAGTGGTTCTCCTAAATTTTAGCATACATCTAAATTATCTAAAAGGAATGTGAAACTGATTGATGGGTCCTGCCTCTAAAGTTTGATTCACTAGGTCCGCGCAGGGTATGAGAATTTGGATTTCTAACAGACAAATTGATTCCCAGGTGATGCTAATGCAGCTAGTTTGGGGACCACTTTTGCGAATTACTGTGTTCAAGTATTGACTAATACATAGTATTGTAGTTTCTTGTTTATGTGTTGGATCTAAGGTTGTCTTCAGGTTTTAAATAATCTAATTGGGTTGATAGAGGTGGGATTATTTGGGGGCTCAGTTAGTTCTCTTCTGTAAGACATCATCTAAATCCCAGAGCCAGAAGTAAATTTCTTACCCTTACATTCTGATAGCATTTTTTACCTCTTGTATAGTTCTTACCACATTGAACCTTGTATTATAATCACTGCTATTTCCTTTTTTTCTCTGTGTAGTTGGAAACTCATTGGAAACAGGAAATATGTCCTGTTGTCTTCCCATCTGCCTATCAAAATACCTTCATACTGTATCTACTGAATAAAGTTAAAGACACACTTTAAGAGTTTGTTAGCTGTATAAGTCTAACACTGGGAAATATCATTTTGCATTAGGACACTGGCCCCATATGCCGGAGGTGGCGGGTTCAAACCCAGCCCCGGCCAAAAACTGTAAAAAACAAAAAAACCCACAAAGTTTCATTGGTATACATGTCTAAATTCACTATACTTACTGCACAGGTGAATGGGAAGATCAGAACTTTCACTGTGTTGTTTCTGAGAGTTTTCTGTGGTCATTACCCATTCCCAATATGGCTTTGATAATATTTTTCTGTGTCCCATGATATTAAAGAAAGTTTTAGTAATCTAGCAACTTTCCATCAAATAAAATTATGATAGTCTTTTAGGTTTCTCATATCATGGTGTCTTTTCCCTGGTATAGGTACAATTAAAAATTTCAACTAGCGCCTGGTCCAATGGTTTCTCATTGGACACAGTGGGAAGTTATGGGTGTGTGAAGTGTCCTGCCAGTAATATGGAATACCTGGTAAGATTCTGCTTGCTTATTTATCTTTGACTCAAGTCAACCTTTTTATATAGTTCAGTGAACAAGTTGGCTCCTAAAGGGTAGAGAAATTTGAATTCAAAGTATTATGTGGAGGGCTGTTATGTCTTCAGATTTTTATGGCCATTGGTATCAAAGTGAAATCTGAATTTTCCTAAGTTTAAAAGTGAGTTGAATCCATCTAAGGCAGCAGTTCTCAACCTGTGGGTCACGACCCACAGGAACTGTATTAAAGGGCCATTGCAATAGGAAGGTTGAGAACCACTGATCTAAGTGAGCAACTGTGTACTAGAATCTTTGTTCCATGCCCTAACCCTGCCATGTTCCAACCCTAACCCTGCCAAACATTTCTAAAATCCAAATTAGACTACTGCAAAAATTTGAATAATAATGCCAACTGACCTCTCTTATTGATTTGAAATTTCTATTTTGTTAATAATAAAATAGAATATTTTATTTAATATTTAATATTAAATAAAATCAGAAAACTTGAGCCTCTACAATAATTATAAAGCAATTTATGTTTGGAATGTTAAAAAGTAACAAATACTAGCCAAATTAAATTTGTCATTGCAATTCCTTATTAGTTTAACTGCTGATTGATAGTTTTGAATTGATTTGTGGTGGAGCCAAAATAAGGAACTAAATTTTTTTTTTCTAAGAAGGCAGTATTAGAATATGGCTTATAGTAAGTTACTTTATTTAAAATTCTTACTTTAAAGTATTTTAAGAAGTTGGTGTATATTTTTCAAAATGATTGAATGAAGTACTATTTGTTTTCTTCCTACAGGTTGGTGTTAGCATCAAAATGAGCAGTTTTAATCTTTCACGAATAGTTACTCTGACTCCCTTTTGTACTATTGCAAACAAGTCATCATTAGAACTGGAAGTTGGTGAAATTGCATCTGATGGCTCGATGCCAACTAGTAAATGGAACTATATTGCTTCATCAGAGGTAAAATTTTTCTTTACTATAACTGGTTCCTAAAATATAGAAATAAATATTGACATATAAGTAAGAATTGTATATACCTCTTCATCATACTCACTTTGCTGTCATATTTATGTGTTAAAATGTGACCGCCAGCTTTGAAAGACTTTTCTTTCATACTGTGACCATAGGTTAAAAAAATTTTTTTAGTGATGTTTGCCATTCTCCTAGTCCTAGATGGTTAATAATTTTCTAGTTCTTCCTGTATGTGTGGAACATATATATGTCCTATAAAATTACACAGAGAAAATTTCACTATAGTCAACATACTGTCTCTGTGTTCAAGAAGCTATAATTTTGTTGGAAGAGCCTAAGACTCATGAATCAGTACATGGAGAGAAAGGTGGTCATATGTGGTAAGTTATAGGTGGTTGTAGAATTTCCAAGTGAGCTAGAAATTTCCTTGAAAATTAACTAAAATTCCACCCTCCCACTTTACAGAAAACTGAGTTTCAGACTTTTCCAAAATTAATAAAGTCATTGGTAGTTGGAATGGTGTTCTAGATCAAAACATGTTTCATAGAAATGGGATTTGAGCTAAACTTATGAGTAAGATTGAAGAGGTGAAGAATATGAGAAATGAGTGGGAGAAGACAGGTGCAGAGATAAGCATTAGTACTTGACTTTGAGTTTTCAGGCAAGCCAGCTGACCCTCAAGATAGCTGAAGGCCATTCTTCTATTCTTATAAAAAAGATTGTACAGTTATTTTTAAAAATACTTAGCAAAAGGCTTAAGAGGAAGGATTCCAACTTAAATAAATTTAGAGTTCTAAGAGACACGCTCTTTTCAATTATATGATGATTTCCATAGAATTTATTGTCTATCTTTAAAGTATGTTTGATAACAGTAGTATTTTTACTCAGAAATAGAATTTACCCAGTATTCTCTAACAAAAGGACATTTTGTATTAGGAACTAAACTTCCAGTTTTATAGATAAGAAAACTGAAACTCAAAAGTAGTACATGGTTTGATTAAGATCAAACAGCTTAGATGACGAGTGGTTCTTAACCTGTGGGTCGCGACCCACAGGAACTGTATTAAAGGGCCACGGCATTAGGAAGGTTGAGAACCACTGGTTTAGATGATAGTGTAAGGACTTCCAGCAAGATATGTGGTAGTGTCTCTTCTGCCTTCTTCTGGTTTATCTAGGGTAGAATACTCTGTGGAAGAATTCATCATGTATTAATTTATTAAAATAGAATATACGCCAAAGCAAATGTTATTAAGATCATATATTTTAAGTAATTAAGATATTTGAGGCATTCTTAATCAATAGGTTCTTTCATTTCTTATGGTATAAATATACCAAGTGCATATATATTCATATGTCTGTATTTTCCTGATGAGCTTTCTTTGGTTTCATAAGTAGTCATTATATTGTCAGTAATTTTAATATGAGATGCAGATGGCCGATTTTAAGAAACTTAGTGATTATTTAATCAAGATCAGATTTTCAAGTTGAAAACTTAATTAGGCAACGTCTTATATATACCACAGTATTGTTTCATGACTGCTACTCACTTTTATATTTTTAGTGCCTTCCATTTTGGCCTGAAAATTTGTCAGGCAAACTTTGTGTGAGAGTGGTTGGCTGTGAAGGATCTTCCAAACCATTCTTTTATAACCGCCAGGATAATGGCACTTTATTAAGTTTAGAAGATCTGGTAAGTTTTCATATTTTAAAATAAATTGTTTTTGATTCTTAAAATTTACCTTAAATATTTCATTAAACCATGCTATAAATATCTCTACTGGTAAATTATTTGAAGGTGCTGTGGTATTAACATAAAATGCTATATATACATGTGTGAGGGTTCAAGCTAATTTGGTTTTTATTAAGAACTTAAGAAAACAAAGCTTTCATGTGTATGTAACTGATTAAAATTCCGTATGTAGGTGAAGTTTAAAACAAGGCATCAGACAAACTCTTTTTTTCTACAATAGAATTGCGGTATCTTGGTGGATGTAAACACTGCCGAGCATTCAACTGTCATAACTTTTACTGATTACCATGAAGGATCTGCCCCTGCCCTGATAATAAATCATACGCCATGGGACGTCCTCATCTACAAACAGAGGTACAAAAACAATTAATGGAAAACTGATTTCTTCTGGGCAATACTTGGGTTTCACATTTCAAATGTTCTCAGATTTTCTGAGGGTAATATGGCAAACATGCTGCTTGTTACTGATATCCTCAGCATGTTTTGAGGTGGTACTCTGTAAATAAGCATGTTAATATTGCTGCAGCAAAACAGGGATATTCACACCAAGTGGGATAAATAGGAGCCGGTAATAGCCTCTGGTTCAGATTAGCTCTTGCTTTCAAATAGCTTTCAGCACCAAACTTCCAGACAAATCTTTGGGCTTCTGGAGCTTTAAAAATTTCAGAATGGCAGATCAGGTAGTAAGCCTGGTTAAGCATTACTTTCCCTTGTAATCTGGTAGTGCTCAGTGAATTTCTCTCTGTAAACCATATCTAGTTTTTTGGCTGGGAGCAGAGTTGGTTAAAGAAGAAAATAGATGAGGAGATAATGGTGTCGAATGTACAGTGTGGGCTGACAGGAGTTTTGCTTCCCTTGCCTTGCTGTCATTTGGTTTAGATGATGCTGCTATTTGATGGTAGACAGTTTAAGGCCTTAAAGTATATAATAATATATATATATATATTTATGCACCTATACATACGTGTAAATGCATGCATATATGTAAAATGTTTGAAGATTTTCCTATTCTTAACTCTTCGTGAAGTAAACCCAGATAGAAGAGATTTGAAACCCAGTTGGATTACTTTTTTTCCAGGTCTCTGGAATGTTTTTTGGATTATTATGTGGACAGTTCCTTCTTAAACTTTAATGATCAAGTTAAAAATTTCTTAGGAATTTTGTTAAGATACAGATGTATAGATTCTGATTTAGTAAGTTTCAGGTGGGGTCCAGGGTTTTGCATTTCCAGCAAGTCCCCAGGTAATGCTGATGATGCTGGGCCACAGACCATACTTTGTGTAGTAATGGTATGGATCCTTTTTTTCTTTTTTCTAAAACTCGTAAAGTCTTAAGTACTGTATTTGATTAAAAAGTTTAGCTGAGTGTAGTGATACACACCTGTGGTCCTGACTGCTCAAGAGGCTGAGACGGGAGGATCACTTGATCCCAGGAATTCTAGGATTCTATGATCCTGCCTGTGAATAGCCACTGCACTGCAGCCTGAGCATCATAGATGCCATCTCTTTAACAGAAAGTTTAAGCACTAAGTGAAATTGTGTTACTAAAGATACTTACCATTCATGCCATTTCTGCAGGTAGACTCTGATGTGCTGGTCTCTTTACCTGATGAATGTCATTGGTCTGAGTCTGCCTGGAACAATTGAGAGTGCATGGAAGCTTTGGGAGGGGCAGTATTCTGTTTCCCCAATCTAAAAATCATTACTGGTTTAGTGGACCTTTTAGGGTACTTATTTTTAGGCAGTGTTTTATGAACTAAGGCAAGCTCATAGGACTTTCGTGCCAATCCTCTCTTCTATTGGTCTACCTTTCTCAAGGCCAAGATATTCCAGTTACCCCTCTGTTAATTGTGTTTTAGTGGGTCACCAGAGCAAGTGGAATTGCTGCCGAGACAAGTTCGGCTTTTTGCCTGGGCAGATCCTACTGGTACCAGAAAACTTACATGGAGATATGCAGCAAATGTTGGAGAACACGATCTGTTAAAGGTATTACTTGGTGTGAATGGTGCTGTGTGAGTTGCCTGCTTGCATGGGAAGTAGACAAGCTAACTTCACCAAGTCTTCCATGTCCTTACTGAACTAAAAATGAATTAGAAGTTTTTTTTTTTTTTTTTTGGTAGAGACAGAGTCTCAGTTTATTGCCCTCAGTAGAGTGCTGTGGCGTCACACAGCTCACAGCAACCTCCAACTCCTGGGCTTAGGCGATTCTCTCACCTCAGGCTCCTGAGTAGCTGGGACTACAGGCGCCCGCCACAATACCCAGCTATTTTTTTGCTGCAGTTTGGCTGGGCCAGATTTGAACCCGCTACCCTGGGTATATGGGGCTGGCGCCCTACCCACTGAACCACAGGTGCTGCCCAAATTAGAAGTATTTTTTAATAAATTACTTTTCGACTTTAGATCACAAATACTGTAGTTCAAAGCAATATTTTATCTTAGATTAATCCAAATAATTTACTTACAGTTTTAAAAAATAGGCCTGCTTTGTCTTGACCAAGATAAGACCAGTAAAACACCTTTTTTATAAACCTTTATAAAAGGAGGGAATTTTAAGGGTAAATGAAAATAACTTTATTTTGAACATTTCTATATGCCTGTTTGCTGTTAGGTTTTTAGGCATGTTTTCCTAAGCAAGGGGATATGTTATTAATTAGTTAATTTATTTATTTTTGAGACAGAGTCTCACTATGTAGCCTTTGGTAGAGTGCTCTGGTATCACAGCTCAAAGCAACCTCAAACTCTTGGGCTTAAGCGATTCTGTTGCTTCAGCCTCCCAAGTAGCCGGGACTATAGACACCTGCCACAGTGCCCGGCTATTTTTTGCTTATAGTTGTCCTTGCTGTTTGGCAGGCCCAGGCTAGGTTCAACTCACCAGCTCCCATGTATGTGGCTGGCACCTTAGCCACTGAGCTATAGGCACCAAGCCAGGCATATGTGTTATTAATTAGTGAAGTCAGATAATATGTAAATTATCTCATATAAGACATTTAATGAAATATTTGTAGAAACAATGTTTAGGTAGCCAGATTAATTGAATGTGTCATTTCTTAGAGTCTTAGACTCTGAAATAGGCTTAAGAATTCATCTGCCAATCTCCCATCTGATACAAGAATTCCTCCTGAATTAGTTAGTGATAGATCATTCAGTTTCTGTGTGAATATATTCCATCTAATCCTAAATTTTAATTAGAGCAATTATAAAGATTATATTTTTAAAGCTTTCAATTAGTAGAACCAAAGTTAGCAAGAAAGGAATTTCAAAACAGTTGAGAAAGTGAAAATAAAGAAAACTTTTTCCTTAACAAAAGTAAACCTGAGAAAGTATGTAAGTGACAGATAATGTTTATTGAGTGCATACTATATAATCATATGTTAATGAATTTCACATAGTATTACAAAGTCTTATGATAGGAATTTGGGATTTCTGGTTGGCATTAAAAATCAGATCTGCCTGGTTGGCATTAAAAATCAAATCTGCCTGACTTCAAAGTCCTCCTTGAACTTTTCCCACCAGACCATACTTTCTATCAACTATGTCAGCAAATAAACATAGTTCGAATTTCCCGATTAAAAGACAAATGCATGCAGATTAAATTAAAAAATTATAGCTAACTATATGCCACTTGCAAAAGATCTGCCTTAACTAAACTAATACATAAAATTATAACCATAAAGAGATAGTAAAGATTGAACAGGCAAATTAAATAAAAAGAAAGCAAAATTGTTGGTTTTAATTTCTTTCTTTCTAAATTGACAATAGTTGTACATATTTGGGGGATACTGTGATATTTTGATAGCAGTGATCAAATCAGGGTAATTAGGATATCCATCACCTCAAACATTCCCTCCTTATGAGTTTTTTGGAGTAGTTTGAGTAAAATTGGTACTAGTTTTTTGAATGTTTGGTAGAATTAAAACACTGAATCCATCAGGTCCTGGGCTTTTCTTTGATAGGAGACTTTATTACTGCTGTAATCTTGGTACTTGTTATTAGTCTGTTAAGGTTTTTCATGTCTTCGTGGTTCCATCTGAGTAGGCTGTATGTGTCCAGGAATTTATCTATTTCTTCTAGGTTTTGTTCATATATAGTTGCTCATAATGGACTCTCGTGATCCTTTATCTTTCTATAATAGCAATGGTTGTATCTCTTTTTTTATTTGTGGTTTTATTTGCTTGGGTCTTCTGTTTTTCTTTATCTAAAGATTTATCGACTTTGCTTATTTTTTAAAAAGCCAACTTTTTGTTTCACTGATCTTTTGTAACTTTTTCAGGCATGCTTCATTTATTTTGCTCTAATTGTTGCTATTTTTTTTCTTATACTACTTTTGGATTTGATTTCTTCTTGCTTTTCTAGTTTCTTAAGATGTATCATTAGATTGTTTATTTGGAATATTTCTGCTTTTTTGATGTAAGTGTTTAGCTTCGTCCTTAGTACTATTTGTTGTAGTGTTTAAACTTTGGTATGTTGTGTGTCTGATTTTATTTGTTTGAAGAAGTTTTTAAATTTCCTTCTTAATCTCTTCCTTGACCATGGTTTGTTCAGGGGCGTGTTTGCTTTCCATGTTTGTATAGTTTCCAGAGTCCTTCTTGTTATTGATGTCCCACTGTAGTCAGAAAAGATACTTGACGTTATTTTTTTTAAATTTGTTGAGACTTATTTTGTGGCTTAACATATGATCTGTCCTGGAGAATGTTCCACGTGCTGATGAGAAGTGTGTGTATTCTATATAAGTTGGATGAATGTTCTGTGCATGTCTGGGAGGTCCATTTGGTCTAGAGCAGTGGTTTTCAACCAGTCTTCTGTGGGAGAATCTTAGATGTGCTGTGAAAAAATTTTAAAGATCATTAGTTAAATAATTTTCAAAAGAAGTTCAAAGCATAGCAAATATATTCTTTTTTTTAACTCTTTTTTCTGGATCAATATAACTTAAGTGTGCCATGGAAGTTTTAACTATAGGTTCAAGTGTGCCGTGAGATGAAAAATGGTTGAACAACACTGGTCAGAATGTTGAGTACAGCTTAATTCTAATGTTTACTTACTGATTTTCTGTCTGGATGATGCGTCTGCTACTGAGAGGAGGTTATTGAAATCTCTTACCATTATTACATTGAAGTCTGTCTCTCCCTTTAAATCTGCTAATATTCGTTTTATTTACCTGGGTGCTCTGGTGTTGGGTGCATATATATTTACAACTTTTATATTCTCTTGCAGAATTGACCCCCTTAACATTCTATAGCGAACTTCTTTGTCTCTTTTTATAGACTTTGACTTGAAGTCTGTTTTATCTAAGTATTAACTATTCCTACTCTTTTTTGATTTCCACTTATGTGATATATGTTTTTCCATACCTTTCAATCTATGTGTGTTTTTATAGGTGAAATGAGTTTCTTGTAGGCAGTATGTTAGGTCTTTTTCTCTTAATTCATTCAGCAACTCTGTCTCATTTAATTGGAGAATTTAGTCCATTAACATTCAATGTTATTATTAATGCCTAAGGACTTACTATTGCAATTTTTACTTGTTTTCTGTTTTTTTCCCCCCTAACCCTCCTTTCTTTCTTTCATCCCTGATTTTCTCTGGTAGTATGTTTTGGCTTGTTGCCTTTTTACTTTCAGTGTATTTATTATAGATTCCTGGTTTGTGGTAACCATGAAGATTACAAAAAACAACTTATAAACATAACATGTCATTTTAAAAAAGATGACAACTTAACTTTGGTTAAAAAAAAAAAGAAAACCAAGGACAAACTGAAAAACTCTACATTTTAACTTCATCTTCTCACAGTTTGGCTTTTTATCATTTCAATTTACATCTTTTTTTGTTTGTTTGTTTTTTGCAGTTTTTGGCTGGGGTTGGGTTTGAACCCAGTACCTCTGGTATATGGGGCCAGCATCCTACTCCTTTGAGCCACAGGTGCTGCCCTCAATTTACATCTTTTTATAGTGCCTATCTTGTAGCAGATTGCTGTAATTATTATTTTTGATAAATCTATCTTTTAGTCTTCACTCTAGAGACATAAGGAAATTGTATATCATAATTACAGTAGTAGGGTATTCTGAATTTGTATGTGTACTTATTTTTATGAATGAGTTTTAAATGTCTTCTTTCATTTCTTCCTTTCTTCTTCCTTTCTGTTTTCTTTTTCTTTCCTTTTTTTAAGTTATTCAAGTAAAGTAATGGAAGTGGAGAAGGAATAAAGAAATCTGTAAGTGGTGTGATCAGTTATTTATTAACACAACTGTACTGAGACCCGCCCACATGTTTTCTTTTAATATATTATCATCCTTTTCTTTCATAATGAAGACCACTCCCATTTGGAAATATATTTCTCAGTTCCAGCATTTCTGTTTGATTTTTAAAATTTCAATCTCTGTTAAATTTCTCTGATGAACTTCTGAATTGTTTTTCTGTGTTATCTTTTGGAGTTTGCTGAGTTTCCTTCGAATTATTTTGAGTTCTTGATCTAAGAGTTCACACATTGCTGTCTTAGTAAGTTTGGTTACCGGCTCTTTGTCCACTTGGGGAGGTCATGGTTCCTTGTCTGCTGTTGTTTCGTGTGGACATACTTCTGTGACTCCTAATTGAAGAATGAATTATTCCAATCTTTGCTCTCTGACTTGTTTCAGAATTTCTAGATTATGTTTGCTTAGAGGTCCTCTGCAGTTGTCTGTGGGTCCCCTTAACCTAGAACTCCCTGTTTTTAGGCACTAGATGGCGCCTTCCACCCAGGTTTGCCCTGGCTTTTGGAATTACTGGCACATTGCCCACTTTCTGTGGGAGGGATTCCAAAAGGGATACCTACCCTGGCTGTGCAGGAAGGCTGGCTACGGGTTCATACCCCGAAGACATGGACTGTGCCTTCCATAATATGGTGCTGCTGAATAGCCACTCTGAATTGGCATCTCCTTTGAGATAAAGAGCAGAGTTTCGTGGTGTGGGGTTTCTTGTGGAACTTCTCCTGTTTGTCTTTACCTGCCCTCAGGAGTTTTCCTCCCTGCAGGCAGTGGTAATGCCGTCCCTCGGGTCTAGGCCAGTGGTTCTCAACCTTCCTAATGCCATGACCATTTAATACAGTTCCTCGTGTTGTAGTGAAAATAATTTTGTCGTTGGGGGTCACCACAACATGAGGAACTGTATTAAAGGGTGTGGCATTAGGAAGGTTAAGAACCACTTTAGGCAGTGATGTTTTTTTCTTTAAGAGAACCCAAGATCATGGGAAGCTGGCTGAACTCCTTGACCTCACTTTTTCCAGTGTAGAAAATATGAATCCAGGAGGAATTTTCCACACATGGTGCCTGACGTACTGGGAGAGGAGCTTCACAGATAGAGAAGTTTGTTTTTCCTACTGTCTAATTGGAGTTTTTCAGTTCTTTGTGGTATCAGGGAACATCTTAAACTCAGATTTGAGTTCTGGGATATTTCTGGTAATAATATTGAATTTGTGTTTGGATTTCTTTGGGAAAGGTTGATTGTTTCTGCTTTGTCATTTTCGTAATGTTACTCTCTCTGTTGAATTTAATTTCTCACCAATTTTAGTTTAAAGCAAAATCATTAAATAGATTATGATAATTTGACAAAGAATGATAGCCATACCCTTCATGCAATGAATAGCATCACAGCAACATACTAAACTTAAAATGCTGAAATACAATTCATAAAGGACACTTGAACATATTTAATTTTCAACAGATCAAATAGATGAATAACAGATAGAATTATAGAGTATTGGAATAATAACTGATTTTGGACTAAGATACATATAAAATTTTTAGTTTATAAAGAAAATTCACCTTAAAAGGTATTTTAAAAATTTGATGGCATATTAGAGTAAAAAAAAAAAGTTGGACAGACTACCTTGACCATACCCTTAAGATAATAATAAAATTTAAATGGCAACATTTAGCTATTCCTATGATCTTGGTTGTTTATTTTTTTTTCCCCCAGGACAGCGTAAGATGAAAAGTACAGAGTAGGCTCTGTGCTGCCTGTTGAAACGAATTACTGTTATGTTTCTGTTAAGCGCAGAAGGAAGTGGAATTTATTATTATTTTAGTCTCTGAAAACGGTGGCCAGATCAAGCCCAGTATTAAGTGCTATATGTAACCCTCATCCAAGAAGGTTATTCTTAGTGAATCTTAGTAGAAGCTGATCACCATAGTTTATTTGGCATTGTGATTTACATAAATATTTCCTTTGTTGTAGCTTATTACAGCTCAGAAATAAACTAAGTTAGTTTTGCCTGAGAGTTCTTTTCTAAAAACTTTGCGAACCATTCTGTTCTCCAATTTGGAGTCAAGTTATCATGTTATGGCCTTGTTATCACCAGATGATACTCTTGTTCCTGCTTGGTGCCCTCTGAGTACTAACTGGGGAACTCAAACTGAGGTATAAAAAACTAATCACTAGTAATCTTAGTCATTGTTTGATAATCATTGGTGAGTATGTTTTAAAGTGTATTGTAGCTTTATTTAATATATTTCATTTTGATGGTTAGAATTTTTCAATTTGTAGTTAACGCTTTTCAAACTTTTCTAATCTTGCTGTGTTTCTATAGTTCAACTTTGTGTAATAAAGCATTACTATTTGGGGGTTTAACAAAGTCTTTCTTCTTCTCAGGATGACTGTGGACAGTTTCCCTATGATGCAAACATTCAAATACACTGGGTATCATTTCTGGATGGGCGTCAGAGAGTTTTGCTTTTCACAGATGATGTTGCCTTGGTTTCCAAAGCACTGCAGGCAGAAGAAATGGAACAGTCCAACCATGAAGTAACCTTGTCTCTCCACAGTCTTGGGCTTTCACTGGTTAACAATGAAAACAAACAGGAAGTTTCATACATTGGGATAACCAGGTATGTAAGAAGGAAAACAGGCATCAGAAACCCTCAAAGTTCCTAAGATCCGGTTTGATGAAAGTAAACTGATACCTGTTCCAAATTTGATGTGCTCTATATTCATTTAGTAAAACTTAATAATTGTGTGAACTGCTAGTTAAAAGTCCCAAGGATAGAGAGATGACTGAGATTCTGTGTACTGCCTTTGCCTTCACAATGCTTGTTGATTAGTGCGGAAAGAAAGTGGTCTGCTTCTTTCTTTGTTGTCTGAATGTGTTTTTTAAAAATGAATTATAAGAATGCTGAGAAGCTATACACTATACAAAGAAGGACATACATGTGCAGTGGAAATATAGAGGTTGCAAGTAACTAATTTGTTTTGTGCAATAGAAGTTGGACAAAATGGCATGGGTCAGGGAAAGCAACAGAAATAAGTTGGAAAAAAGGTTCATAGAGGATGCAGTCTTTGATACGAGGATTTCATCTGTAATGCGTGGTCATTCAGAACTTTGTATGGGACCACTTCTTTTCTCTGGTTCTGTTTATACCTATATAACAAAAATATTTGCATACTTATTTGGTTTTTAAAATCACACGTAATTTGGTAGAAGTTTCATTCTTTTTTTGGAGGCTGATAGGTAGAACAGTTAACATGGTACCAAATGTAACCAGCATGAGATGTATCAATAATCACATGTTTAGGGAATTAAAAACAAATTAAGGAGAAAATTAAGTAAATAGATTATATAATGTACTTTGTATAACACCTTAAAAATTACAGGTTCTGTAAATGGTGTCATACGTACCGTTAGTATAGCATTAATGTGTTTATGTGTATATAAATAATATCTTCTCTTGGTTATACAGTTCAATATTATATGGTATTTTAAAATAAATGTGAAAGTCATTTTAGTCATATAGATCTGATTTTGTCTTTTTTGTTGTTGTTGTTCTTTGATATAACTTCTTTTTAATATTATATGTGCTATCCTACCTTGTCAGGTTGGTCTTTACTTACAAGGACATTTAAAAAATTCATCTAAAAGAATTCGATTGCCTTTTTTCCCCACATGGTACACATTCAGTAAAACCCAAGTTTTAAAAGCTATCTATTTGTTTGTTTATTTATTTCAAGCAGTTTTAGGTCTAGAGAAAACTTTAGTATGGTGTTCCCATATATCCACAACCCTGTTTCCTCTGTTATTAGCATCCTGCAGTGGTGTACATTTGAAACTACATTACTGTTATCTAAAGTCTGCAGTTTATATTAAGGTTTATTCTTTGTGTTCTCCTTTCTGTGAATTTTGAGAAATGTATAATAATATATATTCACTATTACAGAGATCCACAGAATAGTTTCACTATTCCCTGAAAGTCCCCTGTCGTCTTCCTGTTATTCCCTTTCTCTTACTCCTAAACCTCTGGAAACCACTGATCTTTTTACTATCTCAAAAGTTTTTCCATTTTCAGAATTTCATATAGCTGGAATCGTATAGTATGTAACCTTTTCAGACTGGCTTTTTTTCACTTAGCGATATGCTTTTAAGATTCCTCCATTTCTTTT